CGACTCTGCCGCCTTTGTTTCTGCTTCTGATGAAGATGTCAATTGTTCTCAAAACACCGATACACCGGACATCCCGCTGCGTCGACTCCTTGCGACTATAGCGACCAGGTCTCAATGCAAAGCCAAATGCGAAAGTTGCTTTCTTTGCTGGCACCCATGACCCCCAGCTTGGAAGACCTCTACTCCCAAACTTTCACTCGGGTCGCCGGAGGTGGGGCGGGGTTCTCTGGGTCTCTGGGTCGTCCTCCTTCACAGAAGACCTCCTCTCTGCGAAGAAACGCATGGGGTTTCCAGCAACACCATCACTTTGGTGTCAGAATTGGACACACTTGAAAAGGATGTTTAAAGATGAATTATCGAAACCCGCCGCAAGAATCTGTACCCTTCAGGCTACTTCAAGTACAACCTTGCGTGGTGGCAGCTTTCACAACAACATCCGCAGCAGGTGATTTTCCTTTTCTACGAGGATGCTATATCCAAGCCTGCGGACACCTGCACGTGCATAGGCTGCGAATTGGTTTGGCCAATTTGCAGCCTTGAAAACAACATGGCTTTTGTGCCCGATGAAGACCCCCCCTGTTCTTGGGCCATTTCGACTTTCCCACCCAAACCCGCCAAGGAAGTGATTCACCGCACCATGAAGTTCTTAGATGTCTCTTTGGACGATGCTGCCCTGGAGCGGGTGCGTTTTTTTGTCTAGCATGGAGTACATGAAGCCCAATGCAGCAAAGTTTGAGCCTCCCTCCTGCGCTGAGCTATTCAAAGGAACATCAGTTTCAGGCACGGATTAGCAGACAAACAGAGGCAAGATTCCAGTTGCGGAGCTATTTAATGCGTATCAGTATCCAGGTTTTGGGGAAGAGGGTTGCAAATACTAAGTGGGTCAAGCCATGACATTGCAAGAGGTGGCATGACAGGGCAGATCCGAATCCATGGAACTTACTGTGCGTACAACCAGATCGCTACCTTTTCCAAAGTGCAATCAAAGATTTCTCCGGTTCGTTGGTGAGCTGCTTATGCCAACACTTTAGAGGCAAATAAGAGTAATGATTCTGGGGCTGCCTTGGTACGCTTCCCAAACACCAGCCAAGCACTGACGCACGACTGGATTTTCATCTTAAGCAGTTGAGTTCTCCTGAGAGTTGGTGAGTTCCAGCCACCTTTTGGGGGTCGAGGCCAGAGATGATCAGAGAGGCATGAGGCAGAACGGAACGATTGTTCGCCTGAACCCATGATCACATATGATGTATGAACAACCTTTGACAGCCAAGCGTACGTGTCACACCAGGATCAGCAGAGCAACATACGACCAACCTGGTCTTCAACCAACCCTTCCGCCCCCCCCAACCCAACCTGAACCCGGCACGGGGGCCGCCAGGGATGGTGAACAAGGGCCGCTCGGGCCTCGGGAAGGCGCTCGTCTCCAAAGAGCTACGATCCGTGATCTTGAAGGATTTTCAGAAGGCAGTGCGACAGTTGCAGTACCCCATGACAGTCCTAACCTGAGAACAAACTCTCCCATGGACATCCTAGGAAGGCTTTCTCTTTGTTGGGCACAGACGGGAGGAACGGTAGGATCGGATGTTTTTGCTGCGGTGAAAAAGATGGATGCAGGCCTTTGGGTCGAGCGACTTTCCTCCAGATCGACTTGAGAGCTGGTTTCAGGAGATCACGGGGAAACTCATGCTAATAGAGGACAAGCGGATCAGGTTGACATCAACAACAATCATCAAAGAAATCTGGTCAACAGTCAACAACTTGGCCCAACAAAGGCACGGCATTTGGTCCTGACCATGTGTCTTGCCCACCTCGTCACCGCGAGCTTTCGCGGGCACATGCCCGGCCCGGCCTTCATCAAAATGTGAGGTTTTCCTCACCCTGTCTCTTGCGTTCCTGTTCCTCCCCTGTTATGTCTATTTGCTCGTCCCCTCTCCCCATGATTCACAAATGGAATTCCATGGTGCTGCAAGGCTCGTAAGTTTTATGTCGTTCTGCAAAGCTGATATATAGTAGCGAACCACTGGATCCTGCACTTCGCTTGGGCTTGTGCACCAACAAACACGGGGAAGCTCATCCCTCGAGTCTGTGGTGTGAGACAAAAGACTTAAAGGTCAAGTGGGCCAAGAAGGTGTTGCTTTTGTGTATCTAGTGCGATGGCCTCCACCCTTAGGAGCGATGGCCTTCAACCTACCAGCGACGGCCTCACCAATAATATAGTAGCGATGGCCTCCACCCTAGGAGCGATGGTCAACTGGGCGAAGAAGGTGTTGCTTTTGTGTAGTGCTGAGAAACTGCAAATTCCTTCCAATGCACCTTTGTTCAGGAGTAGTGCTTTGCGGACAATGGCCGACGTGTACGATCTGCAAGCATTGTGCAAAGAGCTGACTTGCTTCAGATTCTTTTTTACACAGTGCTACAGACAACATGTGGGTTAACTTTCGGACTTCGACGATGTTGGCAACAAGAACGTGGTCGTGTGGAAGTATAGCCCAGCCAGTAGTGTCTTTGAGCTGCAAAACATCATTATGGTGGTTCACATCTTGACAACTCCACTCGACGTGTTTTCGCCAGCTGCTAGCTAGCGGTCCTGAGCGCTGTTGCGTCTTTCCTTGATATGCACCTGCCAAAAAATGGCTGGAGCTGCGGTGCTTTGATCTTCGTGTCATAACAAGGAGTTTAGTTGAGGAATTTGGAGCAGGCTTTCTGAAGTGTGAAGTTCGAGACCCAGAGCTTTTGTCGGCAAGGAAGTGTTTGAATCGCTTAGAGTCGGTTAGAGGTGTTTACCACTGGCAGCGTCCAGTGGTTTTTGACGTGGTCTTAGTTTTCGGCGCTGGATTCGTTTTCCATCCCGCGGCCAAATCGGAGGATGTGCGTACCGTGCGAGTCCACTTACCGTTGGGTCCCAGTGATGTGGCGGCCTGAGAAGCACGGGGCCCTTACCGTCCCCTTTGAACCAAAGACCGAACTCGCATCCTGTTCTTCCCTTGAAAAGTGGAGTGCCAGCAAACTCGCAACACCAAATTGAACGTTGGACATTTGATCGTTGGTTATATAAATGACATGACATGCCGTGTTCCATTTGAAGTGGTGTCTGGTCCTCTTGAGCCAAGACCAAGCCCAAGCAAAACGAAGAATCTCTGAGGAGCACCGCACCATTGGCATTGATGCCTTTTTTCATGACCAAGACTTGAGAGAGCAGCGACTTGGATGATTTCAGTGTCGGGGGAAAACATGAGGCTCACATGTGACCTCATCAGACGATCTTGGAGGGCACGTCCTGCTGTTTTGGTGGCCTGGACGGCGGTTGGCACCGAGTCGGAACCGATCTGAGTTGGCACTGCCGTGCTGCCCTTCCCGTGCTGCGCCGTGCTCTGCCCAACGAACTGCGTGCTGTCTCGTGGGATCGGCAATCCTTCATCAAAAGCCACTGGACGTCTCATGGCCCATGTTAATCAATGCCGGAGTAGTCAGTTTGAGAAGATGTAGTGACATTGACAGTGGTTGGGATTTGTAGTGTTTCTTTTTTGGGATGATGATATTACCATATTACATATTGCCTTGTTACAACCAAAGTCACGGCGTTGTGAGGACAGCTGGTAACGGTAAAGGTCAATGTGAAGTCATAAAGTAAACGAAATCGAACGGAAGAGATTTTCGTGCTGGTATTGTTCTCAATTTCAAGCTATATATACTGTACAAACATTGAACCACCTGTACTTTTGAGGCTTGCCCTTTCCTTCTATGATTACAAAAGCCAGCCGGTAGGCCAGGCTGAAGTTAGTTCCTGCGGCGAAATGAGTCATAGATGGTTATAGAAGTATACGGGGTGTGTGGTGGGAGGTTGGGGGCAGAGCGGACAAAACTTTTGTCGAGTTGTTGATGCAAAAGATACTAACAATGCAGAGATGCTAGCCGCAGCATCAGCATGAGGAAGAGAAAGAGGGATCGACCGCCTAGTATGACAGTTTTGGAAGTCGAACAGTTTCTTGCCACGAGTGGATGGTAGTTTCGTAGGTCAGTGAAGTCCATTCCATTCGTCCGATGGATGGTCGTTTCGCTCCGTGACATCGATCGCATGGCGGAGGCGCTCTATTAAACGGGTTTGGCCGCCCGTTCGTTTGCGATTCGTTGTCGCCAAGGCGAAAGCTTCGCATGTTTTGTGAGGCAAGGCAGAGCCACTTCCAGCTTGAGGGTGAACAGAGAGGGTTGGTGGTTGGAGAACGGTTGGAATCAGATCTGGGCCAAGTTGAAGAAAGGTGAGAGGATTTGATTGGTTGGGTATTGCCGGGTATTGCTGCTTGTTGATGTTTGACGCTGGAGCTATACTAGGAAGGGCCTGTTTTTGTTTAGGGTCAGGTTCGCAAGTAAGACAACACATATAGGTGATCATCTAAAGAAAGCAAGTTTGTGCAAAAAGAACAACTATGTCCACATCCACAAGAGCTGCGCTTTGCCAGGAATCCGGGTAGAGTTCCAGTGAGTCTGGCAGAACCGGGATTCGTTTTTAGAATTTTAAGGTGCTGTCCACGAAGAACAGGGGTCCGCTTGGCAAGGCTTGAACAATTTGCACAGTTGTGGAAAGCACATCAGACATGTGTACTGCATGCGTCCCCAGGGGTCGCATCAACGGCATCAGACACCCGACATTGTGCGAACCCAGCTTTGGACCCCAGGAACTCGATGAATGGTCAGCTTTGGAGGGGGAAAGTGGCACGGATCAATCCTTTGAGCTGCAGAAGGCCATCCTGTTTGCCTTGAGCCGCGGATCCCGAATTCGAGCCCCGCAGCGCGGAGCGCGCAAAGATTTCTCGACGAAATTCGGCGGAGCCGCTATGACCGGCGGAGCTGTGCGCAAGCCACGAGCTATTCACGGCCGCCTTGGTCTCAGGACGTGACTTCAGGTTTGGTAGGTACTACGGTATTACTGTAGATATTAGATATTCATTGGCTTCAGGCAAGACCTTTTTTAAGACCACCCAAAAAGCGTGTGACTCCTCTAGGATTTCACCACCCAACACCATAAAGTTTGAATCATACCCTTCTTGACCTTCTGGTGCCACACTGCCTTCATGATAGTATCCTTTCCATGGTCTTGGCCGCAGCGCATTTCAAAGGCTTCGCCCCTTTCAATTGTTCAAAGATTTTCAGAAGGCATGGTGTCTTCCTTTTCTTTGTGGAGGATCCTGAGCTTGGGTACCGGCCCGATTGTTTTAGAGAGCCGGTGAGCACGTCTACGCTGAGCATCTCGGATCGTGTTTTGTTTCGCTCCTCTCAGGCACTTTGAGCTTCGGGTTTTGCAGTTTCTCCCAGTCTGAAAAACTCTACGGGATCTGACAGATGCTCAGCTGAACACTACTTCCACGCCATGAGATGGCCGCATTCCAGTTTTTAAGCGGGTCGCCTCAGCAGTTCAAGAAGCGATCACCAGCGAACCAGACATCACTGATGTCCGGTGGTGTGGAGGTCTTCAGACAAGGAGGTCTTCCAATACATGCCATGCTTTCGTCGATTTCGGTCACGTCTCGTGCGATCGGCTGACGGGCGCCCGGACTCGACGGAAAACGGGCGATGCCGATCGATCGGCCTCGTGGGCTCGGGGCCGTGAGGGTCTTTGGTGCGGAGGGCGACTGGGACGTGGTCTCGATCGGACGTGGACGGTGTGATCTTCCACTTATCACTGAACCAAGGACACAGGTCGCG